CGTGTTTTCACGTGTCCAGGTCGCCCAGGCACAGCACAGCCCTCGGCACGGTACATCAATATCGATGCCCTTAGCATTGCAGCCTGGCATGTTGCCTGGCACGTTCCGCGGAGCGTCCCGTGGCGAGTCCCCCTGGCACGTCCGCGGTGCACGTCCATTGCATTTCGTAGCGCGTCCCCTTGGCACGTCCCGCGGTGCGTGCCCATGGCACGTCCCCTGGCACGTCGCCTGGCGCGTCCCTTGGGACGTTCCGCGGCGCGTCCTCCTGGCATGTCCCCCTGTCGATTAGTTCTGGGGCAGCTACCATCTGCTCAGGCAGCTCGAGCTTAGATCCAGATCAGTTCGGTCAGGACTCGGATGCCAAGAGGACTCGATCCACAACGCTATATAGAGCACAATCGCGGCATGGCACATCGCAGTTCAGCACGGCCCAGCACAGCACAGCCGTCGGCACGGTACATCAAGATCGATACATTCAACATTGCATCTTGGCACGTTCCTTGGCGAGCGAGTCCACCTGGCACGTCGCTCGGCGCGTCCCCTGGCACGTCCCGCGGCACGTCCATTGGCACGTTCCGTAGCGCGTCCCCTTGGCACGTCCCGCGGTGCGTGCCCATGGCACGTCCCCTGGCACGTCGCCTGGCGCGTCCCTTGGGACGTTCCGCGGCGCGTCCTCCTGGCATGTCCCCTCTGTCGATTGGTTCTGGGGCAGCTACATCTGCTCAGGCAGCTCGAGTTTAAGATCCAGATCAGTTCGGTCAGGACTCGGATGCCAGGGAGGACTCGATCCACAACGCTATATAGAGCACAATCGCGGCGTGGCACATCGCAGTTCAGCACGGCCAGCACAGCGCAGCCCTCGGCACAGTACATCAAGATCGAGACATTCAGCATTGCATTTGCCCGTCGCCCAATCAGGTGTCTTTGAAAACACTGCCATGCCTTACATTTCTATATTTCTTTCCGGGTTCGTGGGTCGATCATGTTTTCTCAATGCGCGGTCCCCGGAAGTCCCTACCATTTCCCCAAGCCTGGCTTTCCATCCCGAGTCGTTTTTTGAACGCCCCTGGGCCCGGCGAGAGCCCTCGGAGGCCAAAAACTGTCAAACACCGTTCGTCGTGATGTCTTCACGGCGGCCAAAATCATGTCGTCGCCGCCGCCGCCGTCGCCGCCGCCGCCGCCGCCGCCGTCGTCGTCGTCGTCGTCGTCGTCGTCGTCGTCGTCGTCGTCGTCGTCGTCGTCGTCGCCGTCGCCGTCGTCGTCGTCGTCGTCGTCGTCGTCGTCGTCGTCGCCGTTCTCTGGGCCCCCGCGACCTTCGAGGACACCGCGGTGCGGCGCCGCGCCCATGGCGCCCGCGGCGCGCGGCTGGCACGCCGTGCGCCCCCGTGGCTCGGGGCGGGCCAGAGCGGCTGCGGAGGGCCCGACACTCCTCCTTCTCCTCCTCTTCCTCCTCGTCCTCCTTCTCCTCTTCCCCCTCCTGCCTCTCCTCCTCCTCCTCCTCCTCCTCCTCCTCCTCTTCCTCCTCTTCCTCCTTCTCCTCCTCCTCCTCCTCCTCCTCCTCCTACCCCCCTGCCTCTCCTCCTCCTCCTTCTCCTCCTCCTCCTTCCTCTCATCTTTCATCCTCGTGCTCCTGCTCCTCCTCCTCCTGCTTCTTCTCCTTTCCTTCATCCCTTTTTCCTGGAACGGGCGTGGGCCCAGGGTTCTCTTTTAGTTGCTAAACCTGTCCCCAATGCCATGCTTGAAGAGGGCCCGCGAAAGTATTTGCGATAAATAACAAAGTAAAACCCCATCTGGCGTGGAAAAATGCTTTTCGCGCGTGCCCGCTCGAGGAAGGTGCGTCCCCCATCTCGGATCCTCGTTGCCTAATGGGGTCCGCGGACCCCGCTGTCCTTTGTAAAGGAAAAATGCGGAGCGTTTTGCTGAGAATCCATACTAAATAACCAAGTATGGAGCCCCGACCGGGACACGAAACATGTGAAAACACATTCTTTTGTGTGCCCGCTCGAGGATGGCGCGTTCCGCGCGCAGGAATTTCGAGGATGTCTCGAGTCCCGCGCTTGTTTTGTAGAAGGAAGGTTGGCTTTTTGCGTGCCCGCTCGAGGATGGCGCACCCTGCGTGCCGAATCTCTGAGGATGTCTCGGGCGAAACGCTTGTTTTGCAGAGCTTGAAAGGCTTGGGCGCCCCAGGATGCCCAGGTGGTTCTGGGAGTGCGATCGGACCGTTGTTTTCAAAGGATCGTGGCCCTGGGAGCGCAGATGCCGTGTAATTTGCGAAGGATCCTGGCCCTGGGAGCGCGGACGCAGCGTAATTGACGAGGGGTCCTGGCTCTGGAGGCGCGAACCCAGTGTAATTCACTAGGGATCGTGGCCCTGGGAGCGTGGACACTGCGTCATTCACGAGGGAGCGCGGCCCTGGGAGCGTGGACACTGCGTCATTCACGAGGGAGCGCGGCCCTGGGAGCGCGGCCGCAGCGTCGTTTACGAGGGATCGTGGCCCAGGGAGAGCGGACGCAACGTAATCTACGAGGGGTTGAGCGAAACGCTTGTTTTCACGTGTCCAGGTCCCCCAGGCGGATGTCTATCATGAGGATTTGGGCAAGATGTCTCGAGCGAAACGCTTGTCCCCAGCACGTTCCGTAGCGCGTCCCCTTGGCACGTCCCGCGGTGCGTCCCCATGGCACGTCCCATGGCACGTCGCATGAGGCGTCCCTTGGGACGTTCCGCGGCGCGTCCTCCTGGCATGTCCCCCTGTCGATTAGTTCTGGGGCAGCTACCATCTGCTCAGGCAGCTCGAGCTTAAGATCCAGATCAGTTCGGTCAGGACTCGGATGCCAAGGAGGACTCGATCCACAACTCTATATAGAGCACAATCGCGGCGTGGCACATCGCAGTTCAGCACGGCCAGCACAGCGCAGCCGTCGGCACGGTACATCAAGATCGATACATTCAACATTGCATCTTGCGTTCCTTGGCGAGTCCACCTGGCACGTCGCTCGGCGCGTCCCCTGGCACGTCCCGCGGCACGTCCATTGGCACGTTCCGTAGCGCGTCCCCTTGGCACGTCCCGCGGTGCGTCCTCATGGCACGTCCCCTGGCACGTCGCCTGGCGCGTCCCTTGAGACGTTCCGCGGCGCGTCCTCCTGGCATGCCCCCCTGTCCATTAGATCTTGGGCAGCTACTATGTGCTCAGGCAGCTTGAGCTTAAGATCCAGATCAGTTCGGTCAGGACTCGGATGCAAAGGAGGACTCGATCCACAACGCTATAGAGCACAATCGCGGCATGGCACATCGCAATTCAGCACGGCGCAGCACAGCACAGCCCTCGGCACAGTACATCAAGATCGATACATTCAGCATTGCATTTGCCCGTCGCCCAATCAGGTGTCTTTGAAAACACTGCCATGCCATACATTTCTATATTCCTTTCTGGGTTCGTGGGTCGATCATGTTCTTCTTCTACTTCTCCTCCTCCTCCTCCTCCAACGTCCTCCTTCGCCTCCTTCGCCTCTTCCTTCTCCTCCTCCTCCTCCTCCTCCTCCTTCTCCTCACTCCCTCCCTCCCTCTTCCCTCCTCCGCCCTCCTCGTCCTCCCCCTCGCTCTCCTCCTCCCTCCCCGTTCTCCTCCTCCCCGTCCTCCCTCCTCCATCCCCCTTCTCCCTTCCACCCCTTCTTCTTCTTCTTCTTCTCCTCCTCCTCCTCCTCCTCCTCCTCCTCCTCCTCCTCCTCCTACTCCTCCCTCCGTCTGCTCGTCACCCTCCTCGCGGGCGGGACTGGAGGAAGAGGAGGAAAATATGGAGAAACCGGATGATCAGGAAGCAGGGGCAGGTTTGTGGTGTGACGCCGATTCCCTGAAGGGTAGGCGTAGCCCCGTCGAGGTCGGGTGGGACACATGAGCTCTCCCATTCCTTCAGGTCGGCGCTGGAATGACGGGGAGCCGCCCCTTCTGGTTCGGGCACGCGGACCACATCTCACAAGGGGAGGGAGGATGAGGCCGATGATCGGGTCGGGCGAAAGGGGGGGATGGCAAAGGGGGGGTTTCAGAATCAGCTCACGTAGCTGATTTTCCCGGCGCCTCCCGGCGCCAGAGGCGGCTACGTATTGAGGAATGGGCCCCTCGGTGGGGCCGACACCAGCTGCATGCAGCGAATTTGAGAGCGAGACCACGCAACCCCAAAGAATCACCGGCGTGCAGCACCGAACCGCCCGTCCCAGTCCAAGCACTCATCGTCCCCATAAAAACAGGGCTAGGATCGGGATAAATCGCTCCAGAGAAGAAAAAAGAAAAAAAAAAACAAAGAAACAAAAAACAAAAAAAAAAAAAATAAAGCGTCCACGCTCTCAGACGTTCCGGACGCTCTGGAGCGCGCGTCGCCAATACATCATCCAAACCCGCCGATTCTCAGAGATTCGAGTTATCCCATCCGATTTGTCCGATCTTCGCTCGTTTTACGAGCTGAGAGCGAAACCACAGCAACCCCAAGATCACCGCGTGCTGCACCGAACCGACCGCCACGCCCCAATCCGCCCCATCAGAGAAGAGGAGGCAGGAGGAGAGGAGAGAGAGAGAGGAGAGAAGGGAGGAGGGAGGAGGGAGGAGGGGGAGGAGGGCCAGAGAGTGAGGAGCGGAGGAGGAAGGAGGAGAGAGGAGTGCACCGACCGCCGCACCGCGGACCAACCGAACCGCCCACCGTCCCCAAGTCCCCCCCTCAGCACCCCCCACTTCGCACCCGTCCCCGGGCGGGCGCGCCCGCCCCCCTGGCAGACACCTGCCCCGTGGGGCGTGGCCTGCCACTCCTCCTGCTCCTCCTTCCTCCTCCTCCTCTCACCTCCTCCTGCTCCTCTCCTCCTCCTGCTCCTCCACCTCCTCCAACCTCCTCCTCCTCCACCCTCCTCCTCCTCCACACCTCACTCCCTCCTCCTCCTCCTTCTCCTCCTCCTCCTCCTCCTCCTCCTCCTCCTCCTCGGCAGGCGATGCCCCTCTCTGTAAACAAGAGGTGCCGCCTTCCGTCGTGCCGGCCACCGGACCTGCAGAGGCAAAGTGGCCCACCGGCGCTGCCATTCAGGTTCCAGCACGCGCTTGCGCTCCCGCCAGTGCCTTGAACTATCGAGCCAAGCTGTCGCAAGCGCATCGACGCCGGGAGCTTCCACTCGGTCAGCCCACGGGCCAGAAAACTCCGAGGAGCTGTCCAAGGACTGCTCTGGTTCGGACAGGGCCTGCACTCTGTCGGAGCAAGCGCGGCGCACCTTCAGATCCCACGGGCCCTCCGGGCGTGGGTGGCTCAGCGAGTTCGCCTTTCCAACCTCATTCTTCCCCTTCGGGGAGAGGTTTACTTCGCGCCCTACCCCATCTCCCTGGGTCGTACCCTTCCCCCCGCGACGTGTCAGAGTGTCTGTCCGCTTTGTCCCAGGACGGATACATTATGGCCTGGCACGAACCATTTGTGCATCCAAGATGACACATGATAGCCTAAGATGGTTCAGCATAGCTTCCGACATGCCTCTCAAAGGCCCAACGATCGCCCCAAGACGGCTCCAAGTGGCCACAGAGTCTCCGAAGGATGCCATCAACAGGCCAAATTCCCTCTCCCTCTCTCTCTCTCTCTTTCTCTCCCCCTCTTTATGTATGTCTTTCTTTCTTTCTTTCTCGCTCTCTCTCTCTCTGTCTCTCTCTCTCTCTCTTTCTCTCGCTTCCTCTCTCTCTCTCTTTTTTTTTTTGTTCTCTCTCTCTCTCTCTCCTTCTCTCTGCTTTCGCTCCCCCTTTCGCTCTCCCTTCCCCTGTCCATTTCCCTCACCCCTCTCTCCCTCTCCTACTCCCTCTTTCCCTCCCGCCTCCTTTCTCAACCCTCTCTCTCACCCTCTTCCGCTTCTCCTTTTTCTGTCTGTGCGCTCCATGACGCTTGCTCGCGCCGTTTTCCCTCTTGTTTGATTTATCTCATATCGTTCTCTCGTTCTCTCGTTCTCTCGTTCTCTGTCTCTCCGTCTCTCTCTCTCTCTCTCTCTCTCTCTCTCTCCCCCTGTTCCTGTGCTTTCGGGGTGCGCTCGCCTCATCCCGGGACGCACCGCCACCGAACTCCGAACCCCTCCCCGCCGAGCAGCGGGTCGCTCGGAGGTCAGGCCGCGGAGGCGCGGAAGGCGGGCGCAGCCTGGAGGCGCACAGGGCCGGGTGGCCCGCGCGCTGGCTGCAGAGGGAGGGGTGCAAAGAGGAGGAGGAGGAGGAGGAGGAGGAGGAGGAGGAGGAGGAGGAGGAGGAGGAGGAGGAGAGGAGGAGAGGAGAGAGAGAGGAGGAGGAGGAGGAGGAGGGAGAGGAGGAGAGGAGGAGGAGGAGGAGGAGGAGGAGGAGGGGTGCGGCGTGAGAGAGGGGGGGGGGGGGTACTGGCGCGCGGTGACAGGAGGGGTGCAACACTTCTCAAGCTCATGCCCCCGCGCGCAGTTGTGGAATATACTCGGCGTTTTGAACACCTGCAGCCCCTGGGTTCGTTGCTGGAGGCCCCCAGGGCACGCGATGGCACTGGACGGTGCCATCATCAACTCTCCAAAAGCTCCATTGTCTCGACGTTGCGTACCCTTCCGAAGTGATGGTTGACGACGACACTGACAATGCCGATGGCGATGTTGAGGAAGAGGAACAATATTATGATGCTGGTGACGGTGATGATGTTGATGGTGGTGGTGTTTATGGTGATGCTGATGATGATGGCGGTACGTATGATGACGACGTTGACGACGAATATGACGGCGACAACGACGACAACGACGACGATGGTGATGACGATGCTAGCGATGGTGATACTGCGGCTGATGCTAATCCTGCTTATGCTGCTGACGATGATGGCGAAGACGCTGTTGCTGATAATGCTGCAAAAGTGCTGGTGCTAATAGTGATTGATGGTGGTCGTGATGCTGATGCTGATTACGATGACGATACCGACGATGCTGATGATGCTGGCGATGATGCTGGCGCTGTTGCTGCTGTCCATAATGAAGAGGATGACGCGGGTGAATATGAATTTGACTGTTAATAGGAAGCGGCGGCTGCTGATACCGATGGCGATGCTGCTGCCGATGATGCTGGCGATGCTGATGCCGATGATGACGACGATGATGATGCTGATGCTGATGGCGATGATGATGAGGATTATGCTGCTGCTGCCGGTGATAAGGAGGATGATGCAGATGAGCATGAAGATGGATATGAAGAGGATGCTGCTGCTGTTGTTGATAATGCCGTTGCTGATGATGAGGATTTTCATCCAGGCAAGAGTGGCAATAACCGATGACAACCAATGCGAGGAGTCCACTCCAGTCAGATGCCAGTTGTAGAGCACAGTCAAGTGGTCGGAAAAAAACAAATGCATAACGAATTCGAGGCTGCTGGCGCCGTGGAAGCCAAACCGCCGCAGAGGGTTGGCGCCAAGGGAGACAGCAGGCAAGCGGCAGCAGGGGGGGGCGACGGACGGGGGGCCGATCGATCGATCAAGGCCAACACTCGCCACCAAGCTAGCCACTCGAGGCGGCTGGCGAGGACAAGCTGCAGCGGCGGGCGGGCAAGGTGCCTTGGGCTTGCCCCGGCCCCACGCACGGCCGCGGGCCGCGCTTGTAGCGACGATATGACAGGGGATGACCCAGCTTAGTCGCATCAGCTGAGCTGCGCTAGGGGTGCAGGACCGCTTTCCCAAGTCGGCAGTGGGGCCCGAGCTCCAACGCGACCCAGAGCGGCACGCAAACCAACTCGAATGTTCAACTGGATCAATCAAGAGAGCAGGGCGGGCGGCGGGCTGCGCGGACTCCATCGAACTGCAACTCCACGAGAGAGGCATCGCCGAGGGGCCCCAAAGAGAGCGAGCGGCAGCCGCCAAAACGCCCGATGACCGAAGGAGGAGGACCCCCAGGACCAAAGAGGGCATGAAGGACGGCCCGCGGACCGAGCAGGCAGGGAGAGGAGGAGGCGGACCACGGGACCGATTTTCGAAACACAGGCCACTGCAACAACGGGCATCTAACAACCAGGGTTGGGGATATACTTAGCAGCAACCCGAATTGCTGGATGCCTCTGCGTCAGAATGCGTAAACGGCCCTCGAAGACTTGCTTGGGAGACGCACGATCGAGAGCAGTCCGAAGACGGAATTGCTAGCGCGCGTGGACAAAGTGTCGACCAGGGCGCAAAAGGCGATGCCACGTTTGATATCGGGCGCGCGGCCGTCGACACAACGCAGAACAAGGAAATGAGAAGCAAAACCAACGGGGAAAGACGCAAGAGGAGCCCATAACGAGAGGAAGAGAGAGGACACGAGGACACTGGACATACTGACGCTGGTCATCGCGGCCGTGGCGACAACCAAAAGGCGCGGTTTCGGAACAGCGCGAAACCTCGCAAATGTCAGAGCCCCGCGGCGAAGGACCCGCAATACGGCAACAACTAAAAACATGGAAACGGCGCGGCAAACTTTTCGCACCCGAGCCTGAAATATCGGAAACCGTGCGGAACGGTCGAGCGGGAGAGGGAGCCACTTCAGCACTCTTCTAGGAACTTCTCCGATCATCGCCCCAAGCTGAGCGGTGTTGCGCAGACATCTGACCAATCTCGCCTGAGTCACCCAGGAAGAGCTCAGCCGCGGCATCAGCCATGTGCAGGAGAAGCGAACCTGCAAACCGCCCAGAGACCAATCTGGCAGGGGCCATGTCATTCGAGGGGCGGCGGATCTCCGCCAACTCTTCCACGTATTCGCCCCAGGCACTAGAACGCGTGGCCGTTTGAAACACAGAGGCTGTGACAATGAAGGCGATCGAATGGCAGAACGTTTTACAGTCTGCGTCGTCACGGACATGCATCACTTTGCCACTGAAGCTGTAACGCGGGACCGAGTGAATAATTTGCAAGGCGCGATCTTCTAGCTGGAAGAAACGAGGGGTAGGGCGGTGGAACTGGACACATAGCTGAGGGCGGCCACAGCCATGTGCAACAATCGATTCTGCCAGGCCCACTTCCACTCCACGAAACTTCAGGCACGGAATAAGTATTTATTGCATTGAGTGGGGAAGCTGTGGGTATGTGCCTCAGGACCAGGGGAAACCCAAGATAACGGCGCCGCCGAACAACCTGGAAACGTTGACAACCCCGACCCGCAGACGCCGGAAAATTTGACAAGTCTTTGCAAATTCCGAGAGCTTCCCACCGGAACAACACATTTTCCAAAGTGCAGTTCGAGGCCCAACCGCCGTCGCGAGGAGGCAGATCTTATCCAAGGTGGGGATCAAGTCGGTAACCATGTTCTCAAAACGGAGCATTAAGTCGTCGGCGTAGCCAGGAAGTCCAAGCCTCGGGGGACCTGTCTCGAAAAGCCACCTGCAGACAGGGTCCAGGGCGAGGGCGAAAAGGGGCATGGAGGCAAGGCGCCCTTGTCGGACCCTGCGACCCACGCAGAAGGACGCCAGGGAGACACCGCAGGAATGTACCTTCGCCGTATTGTCAGCATAGAAGTTTCTGAAGAACTTCGCCGCCCATGACGGGATGCCCATCTCCCCGAGGACATACAAAGCCCATTCCACATATAGACTGGGAAACGCAACTTCGAAGTCAGTAAACGGCTGGACCTTTTCTCCCCAGATGGGCCAGAACCCCGTCGGCCTCGCAGTGGATGATGTTGTCCAAAATCGATTTCCCTGGAGCCCCCCAGACTGCAACTTATGAATTGGCTGTGTACTGACTCTGATGAGATGGTAAGCGACGGCAGCCGTGATCAGCTTGCAATCAGTGCATCCCATGGAGACTGGACGAGTCGGAGGACGGTTTGCGAGCAGGAACAGCAAACGCATCAGAGGGTTGATCGCCCTTCGCTAGGAAGACCATAACCATCTCGTGGAAGTCGGATGTGAGAGAAACATCAGGGAAACATATACATTGGCAGTAGACAGCAAACAACACATCCTGATCTCCTGCATGCTTCCAACAACTGTACGGCAGACCATCTGTGGCAGGCACTGGTTCCCCAGTGCGCTTCACAAGCTCTGCGAACTCGTCACGAGGGAGAGCCCGCTCCAAGCCAGGGAGTGACACATCAGCATGCTGCATGTACTGGCGAAATGAGCTCCAAAGCGTGCGGTCGGGTTCGCGCGCAGCGAACACACCACCCCAGAAACGAGCAACTTCGTTGCCAGCATGCTGGGCCGATGATCGCAGAACGCCCGAACCCTCGAGAAAAATATCCCGAAGATGCACAGACTTATAGAGGGGCCACCAACGCTCACGGTTGCGCGCAATACGTGCACGTCTGCGCGCAGCTTCGTGCTCGGGAAGGTCGCTCGCTTGCTGCGCAGCTTCCTCTTCGGCATCCAAGAGCTGGTTGTTCAGAACTCCGATGTGCGCATACAGCCCCGCGGCGTTATACAATGTGCCAGCACCAGTGTCAAAGAAGGTAGAAAGGTGGGGATAGGCGCGAACGGCACGCACCACAAAATACTGCACACCGGCACGAAAGGAACGGAGAGCGGCAATACACCAGTGAAGAAACCCATGGGGAGACTTAGCTCCACAGCGTCGCAGAACTTTCTGGAACTCGGCATGTGCTTCGTGCGTGGGTTTTCTTTGTACGAGACAGTCGAGTCAGAATCGGGAGCCTCGGATCAATCCCCTGCAGACGATCAGCCAGAAGCCCCTGGAACTCAGACGTCGACGGAACCCAGGAAGGAATAGGAAGGAGTCCATCCAATAACCGTGGTTTCGTTGAGATCGTTACCGGTGATGATGATGCTGATGATGATAATGACGATGATGATGATGATGATGATGATGATGATGATGATGATGATGATGATGATGATGATGATGATGATGATGATGATTATGACGATGATTATGACGACGATGCTGCTGCTGCTGCTAATAAGGATTATGGCGCTGATGATGATGCTGCTGATGATGATGACGAAGACGACGAGAACGACGATGACGATGGCAATGGCGATGATGACCCGCACTCCAGAAGGACCCCCCCCTCAAGGTGGCTACAGAAATGTGAACTCCTGCCCCCTCCCCCCCCGCCTGCTCCGGGAGTAGTCCGACACCCACACGGGGCAGTCTGGCCGCTGGCTGGAAAACTCCTCGAACTGGAAGGCCCCCGCCGACGGCGTGAAGAGCTCCTGGGCGCGCCACCCCGCGGCGGCGCCCGTGGGCGCCACGGCGGGCGGTTGTCGCCCAGCGGACCTCTGGTGCTCCTTCAGCACGGCTGGTCTGGACATCGAGGAAGAAAGCGGGGGAGGAGGACGGGACGAGAATGATGTTATGATGCGATTGGCTCAGGATGCCTTTCAAGAGCTCCGAAGTATCTAGCGGCTCTCGTTTCTGCAGCCCGTGTGTGGAACATGATGGGATCTAGCAGGTCCTGGAAGGGAACATCTTGGAACGTATCATTATGATGCCCTCTTACTCCGAGAGGAGGAGGAGGCGGAGGAGGAGGAGGAGGAGGAGAGGCATGAGGAGAAGGAGGAGGAGAAGGAGGAGGAAGAGGAGGAGACGGAGAAGGTTGAGGAGGAGAAGGAGGAGGAGAAGAAGGAGTAGGAGGAGAGGCAGGAGGAGGAGGAGGAGGAGGAGGAGGAAGGAGGAGGAGGAGGAGGAGGTAGGAGGAGGAGGAAGGAGGAGGATGAAGGAGGAGGAGGAGGAGAGAGAGGGAGGAGAAGAGGAGGAGGAGGGAAGAAGGGGGAGGAGGAGGAGGAGGAGGAGGAGGAGGAGGAGGAGGAGGAGGAGGAGGAGGAGGAGGAGGGAGGAGGAAGAGCAGGAGGAGGAGGAGGAGAAGGAGGAAGAGGAAGAAGAGGAGGAGGAGCGCGTCTCAAAACGGAATTCCCGCCGAGATCGGGTAAACCACTGTCGGCCAGCGGGCGGAACCGCCCGTGACCGCGCGCCGATGGCTCCTCAGGCCCTGCCCTGCTCCATCACGACCTTCATGGCCTCCTGGCCGGCGGTGTCTGCGTCGAGGCGGGCCTGCTCCTGCTTGCTCCACTGGCCTAGCTCGTTCTCCATGTCCGCACGCGCCTGATCGAACTCGGCGTTCCAGCTGTCGAAGGCCGCCTCGGCCTCTTTTACGGTCTCGAAGACGCCCAGCAAGTACTTGAAGCCAAAGGCATCGATGGCCTCCGATTTGTATAGCTTGTCAGCGATACCCCAGGGGTGCCTGAAGGAGATCTCGTCCACGGCAGGAATCTTCTCGAGGTCCGCCAAGAACTCGTCATCCAGCGGGGGCATCTTCTTGCCGGATTTCTCCTCGAACACCTTCCAGATCTCTTTCATGACATCGGCCTTCGTCTTGTACAAATCCTTCGACTGAGACTTGAAAAAGTTCTTCATGTCCGTGACGTCCTTCTCAATCGTCTCGCGGGCCCTATAATATCCCAAAATCAGGTCAGTGGTGATCTTCTCGACCGCCTTTTTGTAGTCGTCATCTGACACGCCAAACTCTTCCTTCCAGGCAAGGAGATTGTAGCCGACCTCATTGATGTCTTGAAACAGGCATCTGGGAAGTACCATGCTGAACTTCTCGCCAATCGGGGGAATCTTCACAAGCACCCCCGTCATCTCAACCGCCTTCACCAGCGTGTCGTGCGACTCCGTGTCGTTGTTCTGGAAATAATACACGTCCTTCATTGGAGAGCTGCTCGGCCAGAACTCCCCTCTGTACGCGGCGTGCGTGGTCCTCAGCGCGGCGAAATGGTAGCGGCGCTCCGCGTCACGATCGATCTCGACGATCCGGCTCTTCAACCTGAAATCCATCTTGGACTCGGTGCCCTTGAACAACAAACCGTCTGGGTCTGGTGACTCAGAACCTGGCTCCTTCTTGTAGTCGTCGGCCTCCGCCTCGAAGAATTTGCCGAGGATCTTCGAAAAAGACTGCACTTTCTCGTCTGGCAGATCCTTCTTGAACTCGTCGGACTTGCGGAACTTCTTGTTGAACTCTCCCGCCGCCTGGGCGGTGTGTCTTGCGCTGGAAACGAGGTCAAAGAGGGCAAGGGGGAGGGGAACAAGAGGGGGAAGAGGAGAATGCGGAAGGGAAGGAATGACGAGAAGAAGGAGGAGGAAGAGGAGGAGGAGGAGGAGAAGGAGGAGGAGAATAACAAGGAGGGGAGGACGAGGAGGACGCCTGCTTCTTGAGCATCGTGCTCTCCTCCGGCGTCAGCGAACCCCTCCACGCCTCGAAGTCCTCCTTGAAGCCCCTCAGTTGGCATGAAGCAAACGGGTCCTGGGGCCTGTTGGGGGTATTGGATAAGGTACTTTTTGATAAGGAATTAAGGGTCTGGATGCTGGTGGAACTCCAAAGAAGGCTTCGCCATGGATAGCACCACCGCCCTCGGCAGACGAGGAATCCTCCAGGGTCTGCAGCCTCCCGGGCGCGTTCCTTAACCAACGCCCCCGCGGTATATACCGACGCCGCTGCTCCCCCCAGACTGCACGGTTTCCCCCGGGACCGTAGGCGACCCGAGGAGGAGGAGGAGGAGGAGGAGGAGGAGGAGGAGGAGGAGGAGGAGGAGGAGGAGGAGGAGGAGAGGAGGAGGAGAGGAGGGGGAGGAGGAGGGGAGGAGGAGAAGGAGGAGGAGGAGGTGGAGGAGGGGGAGGAGGAGGAGGAGGGAGGAGGAGGAGGAGGAGAGGAGAGCAGGAGGAGGAGGAGAGGAGGAGAAGGAGGAGGAGGAGGAGGAGGAGGAGGAGCAGGGGGAGGGAGGGAGGGGAGGGGAGGGAGGAGGGAGGGAGGAGGAGGGGAAGGGGAGGGAGGAGGGAGGGAGGGAGGGAGGAAGGAGGAGGAGGAGGAGGAGGAGGAGGGGAGGAGGAGGGGAGGAGAGGAGGAGGGAGAAGGAGGAGGAGAAGGGAGGAGGGATGAGGGAGGAGAGAGGGAGGGAGGAGGGAGGGAGGGAGGAGGGAGGAGAGAGAAGGGAGGAGGGAGGAGGGAGGAGGGGGAGGAGGAGGAGGGAGGAGGGAGGACGGAGGAGGGAGGAGGGAGGAGGGAGGATGAGAGGAGGAGGAGCAGGGAGGGAGGAGGTAGGAGGAGGGAGGAGGGAGGGAGGGAGGGATGAGGAGAGAGGCAAGAGGGGGAGGAGGCAGGAGGAGGAGGAGGGAGGAGGAGGAGGAGGAGGAGGAGGAGGAGGAGGAGGAGGAGAGAGGAGGAGGAGAGGAGGAAGTAGGAGGAGGAGGAGGAGGAGAGGAGGAGGAGGAGGAGGAGGAGAGGAGGAGGGAGGAGCAGGAGGAGAGAGGAGCAGGAGGAGAGGAGGAGGAGGGAAAGGAGGAGGAGAAGGGAGGAGGGATGAGGGAGGAGAGAGGAGGGAGGAGGGAGGAGGAGGGAGGGGGAGAGGGAGGAGGGAGGAGGGAGGAGGAGGAGGGAGGAGGGGGAGGAGAGAGGGAGGAGGGAGGAGGGAGGAGGGAGGAGGGAGGAGGGAGGAGGGAGGAGGGAGGAGGGAGGGAGGGAGGAGGAGGAGGAGGTGGAGGAGGAGGAGGAGGAGCCTAAGCCCTTCGGAGAAACCCTCCCCACAGGACGCGTCCCCGAGGGGAACGCGTCCTGACCAGAGAAGCTCCGAGGAGAGTCCACAGCCGGGGCGAGGCGAGAGCTCCAGGACGAGCAGAGTGCCATCGGCTTAGGGTCGGGCACGTCCTCCTACCGGCGAGTTTCGGAAGAAGAGTAAAACACAGGAAGCACATATCCAACCGAGTCACAATCATACGTCGTCAAAACATCGTCGCCAGTCAAAACATCTCCCGTGCAGAGGGGGACATGCCCGACTTAAGCATCGGCCTCTTCCCCTCCTCTGGCTCGGGGCCCGTTTGCCTCCCGGCGACCTCATGGCGGTGTGGCCGCCGCGGGCCCCCGTCGCCCGCGGCGCCGCGAAGGCGCTTGGCCCCGCCCGCCGCCACAGCAGCACCGCCAGCCCGGCGCCGAGCGCGGCGGGCAGCGCGGGGGAGCGGCGGCCCGTGGGGGCGCGCATGGTCTCGGCGCGCGGGCGCCAACGCGCCCGAGCGCGTCGTGTGCAGCGCCAGGGAGCGGCCGCGGCGACGCCTGGGCCGAATCGGCTGCGGAGGAGAAGGGGGACGAGGATGACGACGAGGGGTCAGGGATAGTAAACATGCTGCTGCTGAGGAGGAAGAGGCGGAGGAGGAGGCGGAGGAGGAGAAGGAGGAGAACACGAGGGAGAGGAGGTGCTCATCGGCGTGCGGATGTTTTCGGAGGCTCACAAGGGTTCTGAGAGATTGTTTTTCCTGGAAAGGGCGATGGCCCAGGGTTCTCTTTGAGGATCGTAAACCTGCTGCCCGTGCCTGTACTGAGGGAGGCTAGCGGATTATTCTGCGATAGAAGACGAGGTAACACCCCATTTTGTTTGAAATATGCGTTTCGAGCGAGCCCGCTCGATGAAAGTGCGGCCCCCATCTCGGATCCTCGTTGCCTAACGGGGTCATCAGACCCCCGGTTTCCTTAGTAAACAAGAAGTTGCGGAGCGTTCTGCGCAGAATCCCTACGTCATAACAAGAGAAATTTCCATACAATGACCAAATCTCTACTTGTTGCGTGCCCACTCGAGGAAGGCGCGCCCTGCGGGCAAGTTTCTTGAGGATGTTTCGAACACCGTGTTTTTTTGCGAAAAGAATGCTGGCTTTTTCCTGGAAGGGGCGGGAGCCCAGGGCTCTCTTTTTCCAGGAAAGGGCGCGGGCCCAAGGATCTCTTTTAGTGGGTTTACCCCCGGAATCGACTTGAGGTGGGCCGGCAAAGTTAATCTGCGATAAATAACGAGGTCGAGGTGGGCAGGCGAACTAAGATTTGAGGATCTCCCGAGCGAAACGCTTGTTTTGCAGAAATTGTTCAGGATGTCTCGAGCAAAACGCTTGTTTTGTATTCTAGATTGTCCTCTCCTGGCGACCAGAATTCAAAGGATCTCTCAAGTGAAATGCTTGTTCTCACGTGCCCAAGTCTTGAGGATGTCTCGAGCGAGATGCTTGGTTTCACCCGTCCAGGTTGCCCAGGCAGATGTCTAGCATGAGGATTTGTTGAGGATGTCTCGAACGAGACCCTTGTTTTCACGCGTCCAGGTCGCCCAGGCGGATGTCTAGCATGAGGGTGTGTTGAGGAAGTCTCGATCGAGATGCTTGTTTGTTCAGGATGTCTCGAGCGAGAAGTTTGCACGTGTCCAAATTGCCCAGGCGGATGTCTAGCATGAGGATGTCCCGTTGCGAGTCCCCCTGGCGCGTCGCGCGGCGCGTCCCCTGGTACGTCCCGTGGCACGTCCATTGGCACGTTCCGTAGCGCGTCCCCTTGGCACGTCCCGCGGTGCGTCCCCATAGTACGTCCCCTGGCACGTCGCTTGGCGCGTCCCTTGGGACGTTTCCCGGCGCGTCCCCCTGGCATGTCCCCCTGTCAGTTAGCTCTGGGGCAGCTACTATGTGCTCAGGCAGCTTGAGCTGAAGATCCAGATCAGTTCGGTCAGGACTCGGATGCAAAGGAAGAATCGATCCACAACGCTATAGAGCACAATCGCGGCATGGCACATCGCAATTCAGCGCGGCGCAGCACAGCGCAACCCTCGGCACGGCACATCAAGATCGATACACTCAGCCCTGCAACCTGGCACGTTCCCTGGCACGTCCCGTGGCGCGTCCCATGGCAAGTCCCCCTGGCGCGTCGCGCGGCGCGTCCCCTGGCGCGTCCCGTGGCACGTCCATTGGCACGTTCCGTAGCGCGTCCCCTTGGCACGTCCCGCGGTGCGTCCCCATATCACGTCCCCTTGCACGTGGCATGGCGCGTCCCGTGGGACGTTCCGCGGCGCGTCCCCCTGACGTGTGCCCCTGTCAATTAGCTCTGGGGCAGCTATTATGTGCTCAGGCAGCTCGAGCTGAAGATCCAGATCAGTTCGGTCAGGACTCGGATGCAAAGGAAGAATCGATCCACAACGCTACAGAGCACAATCGCGGCATGGCACATCGCAATTCAGCGCGGCGCAGCACAACACAGCCCTCGGCACGGTACATCAAGATAGAAACACTCAACATTGCAACCTGGCACGTTCCCTGGCACGTTCCGTGGCGCGTCCCGTGGCACGTCCATTGGCACGTTCCGTAGCGCGTCCCCTTGGCACGTCCCGCGGCGCGTCCCCCTGGCATGTCCCCCTGTCAGTTAGCTCTGGGGCAGCTACTATGTGCTCAGGCAGCTCGAGCTTAACATCCGGATCAGCTCGGTCGGGACTCGAATGCAAAGGGGGACTGGATCCACAACGCTATAGAGCACAATCGCGGCATGTCACATCGCAATTCAGCACGGCGCAGCACAGCACAACCCTCGGCACGGCACATCAAAATCTATACACTCAACATTGCGTTTGCCCGTCGCCCAATCAAGTGTCTTTGAAACGTTGCCATGCCTTACACTTCTAAATTCCTTTCCGGGTTCGTGGGGCGATCATGTAATAGGCTTATTCCCGGAAAGGGCTTCGGCCAAAGGTTCTCTTTTAGTAAGTTGATCTCCCCCCGGAGTCGACTTGAAGAGGGCAGGCGAAGCTACTCTGTGATGAATAGCCAAGTCGAAGAGGGCTGGCGAATTAAACTTTGAGCATGTCCGAGCGAAACGCTGGTTTTTGACATTCCGATCGATAGAATACAGTGTCAAATAAGCATTTTCGTTTGTTGCGGATATCTCGTGCGAAACGCTCGTTTTGCAGAATGTGTTGAGGATGTCTCGAGCGAAACGCTTGTTATGGAGACTTCCAGTAACATGGACGCCCAAGGATACCCCAGGGGGCCCTGGGAGTGCGGACGCAGCGTAATTTACGAAGGATCGTGGCCCTGGGAGCGTGGACGCAACTCAGTTTACATGGGGTCGTGGCCCAGGGAGAGCGGACGCAGAGTAGTTTACAAAGACTCGTGGCCCTGGGAGCGCGGACGCGGCGCAATGTACAATGGGTCGTGGCCCTGGGAGCGCGGACGCAATGTAATCTACGACGGATCGCGTCCTGGGAGCGCGGACGCAATGTAATCTGCGTGGGATCGTGGCCCTTTGGGGGGGCGGGCGCAACGTAGTTCAAGAGGGCACGTGGGGGCCCTGGGAGCGAAGACGCAGTGCAATCCACGACGGAGCGCGGCCCCAGGAGCGCAGAGGCAGCGTAGTAGTAGTAGTAGTAGTAGTAGTAGTAGTAGTAGTAGTAGTAGTAGTAGTAGTAGTAGTAGTAGCAGCAGCAGCAGCAGCAGCAGTAGTAGTCGTAGTAGTAGTAGGGATCGTGGCCCAGGGAGGGCGGACGCAGCGTCATTTACTGGGGATCGTGGCCCTGGGAGCGCGGACGCAGGGCAGTTTACAGTGGGTCCTGGCCCCGGGAGTCTGGACGCAGCGTAATTTACAAGGCATCGTGGCCCTTGGGGGGGCTGACGCAGCGGAATTTACCGGGGGGCGTGGCCCTGGGAACGCAGACACAGCGTAGTGTACCATGGATCGTGGCCTTGGGACAGGGGCGCAGCGTAATTTACGAGGGATCGTGGCCTTTGGGGGGCGGACAGATGATAACTTACTAAGGAACGTGGCCCTGGGAGCGCGGACGCAGTGTAATTCACGAAGGAGTGCAGCCCTGGGAGCGTGGACGCAGCGTAGTTTACGTGGGATCGTGGCCCAGGGAGGGCGGACGCAGCGTAACTGCTGGGGTCGTGGCCTGGGAGCGCGGACGCAGCGTAATCATTATGGATCGTGGCCCTGGGAGCGCGGACGCATTGCAATATACGAAGGATCCTGGGCCTGGGTCAGGGACGTCCCGCGGCACGTTCCCTGACGCGTTCCCTGGCACGTTCCCTGGCGCGTCGCCTGGAACGTTCCCTGGCACGTTCCGTGGCGCGTCCCCGCTATCCTCCTCGTCCTCCCCAATTGATATATCTCTGCTTCTCTGCCCACGACGACAGATGAAACACTATGCCATACGTTTGTGGCTTGTCTTGGGCCCCTGGAAACATCAAAACCTCGAGGTGCGAAGGATCTTGGTCGGCATAAGACCTAAGATCCTCACCTTCTCCCCCTCTTCCCCTCCTCCTCGAGCCTCGTCCGCTTCGACACCCCCCCCGCCGCTCTTCTAGCCCTTCCCCCGTTTCCCCCTCCTCCTCCCCTCCTTCTTCCACGGCGGCTGCGGTTGATCCTCCTCGTCACTTCCCCTCCTTCTCCCTGCCTCCTCCCCTCCTGTGCCTTCTTCCCTCCTCCACTACTTCCATCCTTCCTCCCTTCTTTCCTCCCGAAGGCCCTCCTGCTCTCATGCCCCCGGCCCCCGGCCCACGCGGCCCCGAGGTCCCCGAGGCGCAGCCGCTGCAGCAGCAGCTTGAACTCCTGCTCGGTGAGGGAGGCGCTCGTGCTGGGCGGGTCGTCGTCGGTCCTGCTGGGGCAGAGGGAACGATGCTCCTAAACATATAACATGCCATAGCACGACATACACATACATGCCATGCCATAACACGAAATAAGTCATACACATAAGCATCGGGGAACAACCAATGACATAAACGTCAAAACTCACAGGTCCGTGCGGATTCTTCGGATCTGGGAGCGATATCTGGGCGCCGCGCTGCGTCGAGGCCGCACCTCAGACGTCGCCTGACGCTATGATGCTGCTGCTGCTGATGCTGCTGGTGATTCCAGTGATGCTGCTAATGATGATGCTGATGTTGCTGATGATGATGGTGACGATGAAAATGAAGCTGAGTATGGTACTGATAATCATGCTGCTGTTGCTGATGATGATGATAAATATGATGATGATGATGATGATGATGATGATGATGATGATGATGATGATGATGATGATGATGATGATGATGATGATGATGATGCTGATGATGATGATGATGATGATGATGGTGATGCTAATGATAATGAACATGATGATGAGTCTGATCATGATGACGATGACGATGACGATGATGATGATGATGATGATGCTGATGATGATGATGATGATGATGATGATGGTGATGCTGATGGTGGTGATGATGAGGATGATGGGCCGTGAGCGGAGGCGAAGCGAACAGAGGATGTAGAAACTGACCACCCACAAATTCCCTCCCTCTCTCTCTCCCGCAAAACACGACTTGCCAGAGCACTACCATAAACAGGCTCCGACAAGGCACGTCTGCCCTTCACAATACGGCACTCGAGGGAACCATACAATCACGGGACGACATGGGACAGCTGAACATGTCGTCACAGCACGGCACGCGCTCGTCCCCAAGACAGGCGACGGGAAGGCGTCAGTCATGATGATGCTGCAGATGATGATGCTGATGATGCTGATGCTGATGATGCGGATGATGATGATGCTAATGCTGATGCTGATTGCTGATGTTGATGCTGATGCTGATGCTCATGATGACGATGATGATGCTGACGAAGACGATGACGATGACGATGACCATGATGACGATGAGGACGATCACGATGATGATGACGATGATGAGGATGAGGATGATGCTGCTGATGATAAGGATGATCATGAGGTTGATGACGATGATGATGACGGTGATGATGATGATGATGATGATGATGATGATGATGATTATGATGATGATGCTGATGCTGCTGCTGATGATGATGCTAAGGATGGTGATGATGAGGATGATGCTGATGATGATGAGGATGAGGATGATGCTGCTGATGATGATGATGATGATGCTAAGGATGGTGATGATGAGGATGATGCTGATGATGATGAGGATGAGGATGATGCTGCTGATGATGATGAACATGATGATGATCCTGGACAGAGGACCGTGCTGAGGGCCGAGGCTAGGGTGGTACGGTAAGGGGAGGACATGCCGCCTCCTGCACCTCGGCGCCTCGAGTGCCCGCTGGGTGCGGGGAGCTCGCGCTCCGCAGCTCCGCGCCCCGGACCGGAAGACCAGACGACCCACGACCCATCGAGCCGGCGTGCGCCGCGCCGTGCACCGCGAGCCGCCCGCCCACCTCACGACACTCGCACTCTGTCGCTCTTGTCCTCTATCGGCTATACGCAAGCGTGACCCTGATGATGATGATGACGACGATGATCATGATGATGATGACGGTGATGACCATGATGATGATGACGATGATGATGATGATGACGATGATGATGATGATGAGGATGATGATGACGATGATGATGATGATGATGATGAGGAGGAGGATGATGATGGTGACGATGATGATGATGAGGAGGATGATGATGGTGACCCCTGGGTAAGGGTGACCTTTGGTGCGCGGCCTTGTCGGGGCCGCGGGGAGGCTCAAAACATGCGCGCAGGGCGCCGCTGCCGCCTCGCGCTCGGCGATCGGGGGACCCCAGTGGGCCCGCACCCAAAGGTCACTCCGGCGAGAGGTCGCTCTTACACGTCGTTCATTTCTAATCGTGCTCATCTCTAATTGTGCTCGTTTCTAATTCTTCCTGGCCCCCTAGTGGCCAGGAAGAGGCCCAGGATAGAACAAGTAGAAATGAAAGGATCTTGGCCCCCCAAAGAGTCAAAGAACTTTCGAAGCATTAGAAACTGACCATGTGTATGTCCAGCCGAGCGGACCGCATCGGCCCAGAACGGCTAGCCGACACCCGCAGGCCGGTCTTCTGCTGGCCATCGCTCGGACGTCCACTCCCTGTGCTTCTTTCGGTTTCGTGCGTGTTTTTTTCGCCAAGTGATCAAGGATGCTCCTCGATGGTCCTCGCCGAAGGAAAAATGCACACGTCCGAGCGATGCCAAGTCTGGGGATGTCCGTGGCGTGCCCGGTGCGGCCGCGCCCTCCGGTGCTGGCGCTCGCGCTCGCGGCGTGCCCCCCCGCCCGAGCCGCGCGGCGCGTGCGCCTTGGGGCAGTGCTGCCTCCTCTCCGAGCAGGCGCCAACCGCAGGCGCCCCTGGTCGATGCTCGCGTGCAGGAGCGTACCCTTCACCCCGTGCCTCGCCACGGCCCGCTCCTCTTGCCGTCGCTCGGACGTCCAGTTCCCGTGCATTTGTCGGTTTCGTGCGTGTTTTTTTTGCTCGATGGTCCAGGATGCTCCTCCAGGGTCCTCGCCGAGAAAAAATGCACACGTCCGAGCGATGCCAAGTCCTTCGTCGCCTCTGAGAGCGCGCGCGCCGCGGCGGCAGCGAGGCGTGCGGAGCAGCGCTCCAAGGTGCCCGTCGCGCAGGTCTGCGCAGGCGAGGGGGCGTGCCCCCACCCTGGACCGCCTCGGCGCAAGATCTTCTGCGGGCCACTTGTTCGGATCACGCGCAGAGGTGGGCGCGCAGGGCACAGACGAATAGCCATGGCGAAGAGACAAGCACGATCGGCGCCGCCCGCGCACCTCGCAGATTGCGAGAACTGCCCCCACCGAAATAAAATGCCGCACCGCCCGTGAGATGTGAATACCTTGAACCAAAGCGGCACTGCGGGCTGGTTGCGGAGAGGAGGAGGAGGAGGCGGAGGAGGAGGAGGAGGAGGAGGAGTGAGCGGGACAACCGCTTGTGAGACTTCGAGAACTTTCGGGAGGCGCCGAGGGATCTGGCAGGAGTCTTCCAGAAAATAATAGCCTTTTCAGAAACACGCTATAACATGACTGGAACACTTGAGCTGAAGGTGACCGTCGTTCGCAAGCAAATCTCATCGCGGCCTGCAAGTCTCTTGCTTCAAGTCTGAAAAGATCCAGTCACTTTGATACCCCGACGCGAATATTTCTTGCGAGGTTGCCCTTGTGAAGTCAGCCATGATTTGTTTCCTCACCAAATCTGCGGCGCTAAGCCCTTTGTGACAGTGGCAGAGACGGCAGGGGGGAGGCCGATGAGGAGGAGGACGTCGAAGAGTGTTCGTCTCAAGGGGAGGACTCGGAGGAGTACGAGGAGGATGAGGAGGACAAGGAGAGGAGAACAAGAGGATGAGGAGAAAGGATAGGAACATGAGGACACATAGCAAGCAGACGACGGGCAAGGTCAGGGGCTGCGCGCGCAAAGCAGAGACAGCCTGCACTGCCAGGTGATGCGGTTGATGAGGTCCTGCCGGCGCAGAAGGCCGAAGCCTTCGACACATGCCCACCTCTTGCTCGTAGGCTCTCCTGGGATCTGCCCGGCCCTCCCCCTCCCCGGTCTCCTTCTCCCTTTCCTCCACCTTCTGCTCCTCCACTTCCCGCCCCCCCCCCCCCCTCAGGGAGACCCTCAGGGTGGTAGAGGCCCTCAAGAATAAGGAGGAGCAGCCCCTGGTGCGACCTCAGGACACTCCGAACGGACGAGTCCGATTAGCCAGATTGACTGGTTGAAGAGTCCCCTCGAGAGGGGGCATGTAACCGTAGATGTTAAAAACCATCTGAAGGCAGCAGCCTGGAGGGTATTTGCATATGAAAACCGGCTTAACGCTGCGGTGAACAACTTGAGCCTGGCTGGCGCAGTAAGTGCCTAAGCGGGGCGGCAAGAAAGGAAAGGACGAGTGCCCCGAGGGGCGCAGAGGTTGTGCGCCAGCCAGGCGAAAAATGAAGGGGAGAGGGATCGATCGATCGAACACCTTGGCAACATCAAGATCGAGGCGCCCCCGCCTCCTCCTCCTCCTCCCCCCCTACCTTCCCCCGCCTCCTTCTGTCCTATCCTACTCCGCCTCTACCTCCTCGCAGTCCTCCTCCTCCTCCTCGTCCTTCCTCCTCCTCCTCCTCCTTCTCCTCCTCCTCCCCCTCCTTCTTCTACTTCTTCTTCTTCTTCTACTTCTTCTCCGCAACTTGCCCGCAACTGGGACTGGCCAGAGGGGCTCTTCACCGGCGGCTGCTGGGCCTGCACCCGCCGGCAGCGCTCCTCGGGGTCTCTCCTTGGGGTCTCCTGCGCCCCGGTCCCCTGCGGCCTCCCTCGGAGTTTCCTTGGGCTGCTTGGTCCTGGCTCTGTGGATCCTCGGTTCCTTGATCCCTGGGTTCCTGGGCTCCTGGGTTCCCTCCTCCTCCTCCTCCTCCTCCTCCTCCGCATCCTCCTCCTCCTTTTCTGCTTCGTCTTCCCTCCTCTCATCCTCCTCCTCCTCCTACCTCCTTCTCCTCCTCCTCACTCCTCCTCCTCCTCCTCCTCCTCCTCCCCCCTCCGCCTCCTCCTCCTCCTCATCCTCCTCCCCCTGCCTCCTCCTCTTCCTCTCCTCCTCCTCCTCCTCCTACTCCTCTCCCCCTCTCCTCCTCCTCCTCCTCTGCCTCACTCCTCCTCCTCCTCCTATGCCTCCTCCTCCTCTCCCTCCTCCGCGTCCCTCCTCTTCCCTCCTCCTCCTCCTCCTCCTCCGCCTCCTCCTCCGCTCCCCCTCCTCCTCCTCCTCCTCCTCCTTCCCTCCTCTCCTCCTTTTCACCCGCTCCTCCTCCCTTCTTCCTCCGTAATTCGATTCTCCTTCTTGTGAATCCTCCCTCCTCCCGTCTGACCACCCATGGCTCCCGCCTCCCGCTCCCCCCTCGCTCGTCTCGCCCTGGGCCTCCCTCCTTCTCCCTCCCACGCTCCTGCCACGCCGCACCCGCTCCCCTCCGTCCTCTCTCTCTCTGCCTCCGCCTCCTCCTCCTCCTCTTCCTCGTCCTCCTCCTCATTCCTCTCCTCCTCCTCCTCCGCCCGCCTCCTCCGCCTCCCCCCTTACCCCCGCCTTCCTTTTCCTTCCCCCTTTGCCGGTTGCTTCTTCGCGTCCTGGCCTCTTTGGCTCCTCGTCCTCGTCGTGGTCTCCTGCTCCTTTTTCCCCTCCTCCTCCTTCCCCTCCTCCTCCTCCTCCTCCTCCTCCTCCTCCTCCTCCTCCTCCTCATCCGTCATCTCTTCTCTCCGTCCTCGTATTCCTGCTTCCTCCTTCCTCCTGTTCTCTCCGCACCCTTCCGCTCCTCCTCCTCCTACTCCTCGTCCTCCTCCTTCTCCTCCTCCTCCTCCTCCTCCCATCTTCCTCCTCCTCCTTCCTCCTAGTCTTCCCTTCCTCCAGAATGCCCTGTCCAATCATCGGGAGGCGGACCCCCCCCCGGTGGGGCAGAGACAGCGCCGTGGCCCCCCAGAGGATCTCCGATAGCTGTAAGCGTGCCTCTTTGGATGCCGAAAGGCCCACCTCCAAAACACACATCCCTCCCACAGCGTCTGCTGTCCGATGATGGAGGGGCAGTAAACGGGAGGTGAAGAAGCGTGCGCCTTTCGCTCACCCTGTAGGACCGCGGTGGCAATTTCGGTGCAGGGGCCATCTGGGACCCCTTGAGAGACACTTTCCTGTAGTAGTGGAAGAAACACGGCACGGACATGAACTTTTGGCGCGCCGCGCGGGTTTCTTGGATCTGCGCTGGCCCTCCCATCCCTGGCGCGCGGAGCGCGCCAGGGGCGGCGCCGGAGGCGCCGCCGGGGGGGGGCAGCGCGGTTCCAAGAGATCAGCGCGGGGCGCCAACAGTTTATGTGTATGCCGTTTTCTTCTTCTTCTTCTTCTTCTCTTCTTCTTCTTCTTCTTCTTCATCATCTTCTTCTTCTTCGATGCAAGCCTCGACCCCCCATGTTTATGGCCCCCCTGCCGTCCGCCTGCAGGAGCAGGCGCGCCCCCCCCCCCCCCTACCTCTCCGAGGCTCTCCGCACAGCCGGGCTCGATCTGGGCGGTTCCACGCTCCAGCCCATCAATGGGGCGCGGGGGTAGAGGGAGGAGAGGAGGAGGGAGGAGGGAGGATAGGAGGAGGGAGGGGAGGAGGAGGAGGAGGAGGAGGAGGAGGGGAGGAGGAGGAGGAGGAGGAGGAGGAGGAGAAGGAGGAGGAGGAGGAGGAGGTAGGAGGAGGAGGAGGAGGAGGAGGAGGAGGTGCTGGTGGAGGAGGAGGAGGGAGGATGCGGAGGAGGAGGAGGGGGAGGAGGGAGGAGGAGGAGGAGGAGGAGGAGGAGGAAGAGGAGGAGGAGGAGGAGGGGAGGGAGGAAGAGGTGGAGGGGAGGAGGAGGAGGAGGAGAGGAGGAGGAGGAGGAGGAGGAGGAGGAGGGGAGGGAAAAAGGGGGTGGGGGGGAGAGGGGAGGCGGAGGAGGAGAAGGAAACAAGAGGAAGAGGAGGAGGAGGAGGAGGAGGAGGAGGAGGAGGAGGAGGAGAGGAGGAGGAGGACGAGGAGGACGAGGAGGAGGGGAGGAGGAGGGGGGAGGTGTAGGCGAAGGAGGAGGGGGAGGAGGTAGGAGGGGGGGGAGGAGGAGGAGAGGAGGAGGAGGAGGAGGGAGGAGTAGGAGGACGGGAACAAGAGGAACAGGAGGAGAGGAGGAGGAGCGAGGAGGAGTGAGGGGGAGGAGCGAGGAGGATGGAGGAGGAGGAGGAGGAGGAGAGGAGGAGGAGGAGGAGGAGGAGGAGGAGGAGGAGGAGGAGGAGGAGGAGGAGGAGGAGGAGGAGGAGGAGAGAAGAAGGAGGAGGAAGGAGGAGGAGAAGGAGGAGGAGAGGAGGAGGAGTAGGAGGAGGGGAGGAGGAGGAGGAGGAGGAGGAGGAGGAGGGGGGAGAAGGATGATGATGAGGAGGAGACGGATGAGGATGAGGAGGAAGAGAAAAAACGAACGTCCCTTTGCGGAAGCTTTCTTTCCCTGCCTAGCCAGAACTGCCGGCACCGCCAACGATGCAGGCGGGTAGTTCCATAGCGGCACGAGCGGCGAGAGCCGCCTGCTTCTCGCAGTCGTAGTCCAGCTCGGCAGCGTCTGCGTCGTTGATGATGTGGTAAAGGCAGTACATCACCTCGACCCTTGCGAGGCTGTGGCTTCTCGAATTCTCACCTGACTGCTCGGGGTCCACACCACGGCCTGCTCTCACCAGCACCTCGTCGTGCAGGAAGCCTCGAGGCAACGCCGCAGGATGGAGGAGCCCCCGGCACTGGAGGCAATGCTCGATGAAGCCGAGCCCGCCTCGCAGCCAAAGAGACAAGGTCGTTGGATGATCAGCACCGCGTGCATTCTAAATGACTTAGTCCACCCTCCTCCGTACGGCAGGCTCGTGTCGTGACGACCCCAGCGTTGGTTCCTGACACCGCGGGGATCGTCCAACCTTGAACAATCGGCCGTTGCTGAAACGTCAGATCGTTTAATGTCGTCCGATTCTGGGTCGCCGCCGGCGTTCAACGTTGAACGCCGGCGGCGGGGTAGCCACTGGTCGACACGACGCGGACCTGCCGATCTTCAGAGCTGGACAGACTCGTGAAGGTGGGGTGGGGATCTTCTGACCCGGGTCAATCCAGACCCGGGTCAGCAGGAAACCAAAAACTGCAATGGAGGAAAAAAAACTGTAACGCAGGTCTTCGCAAACCCGGGTCAGCCAATATGTGCGGCCGCCTCGCGGCCACGAACGGCTCGCTAACCCGGGTCAGCCTGAAGGGGTCTTCGCAGGATCCTGCAGGATCCGGTGCTGTGGCTGACCCCCGTTTGCATTGACCCCCGTCTCAAGGCTCCCGATGGGGGCGTTCGGAGGATATCCCGGGCCGCGCGCCAACGGCGACGAAGGTCTCCACGCACGTGGAAGGGCTGCCCATACCAGGCGGCCAAACGCTTCCAGATCGTGACCAGCTCGCAGATGCCAGGTGGCGCGCCAAAGGGGGTGGGGGGGCGAGGCCGACTTTCGAAGGCGTTCGAGGGCCTCCTCCTCGCCCTTCCCCCCCTCCCCCCTCCTCCTCCTCCTCCTCCTCCTCCTCGTCGTCCTCTTTCCTCCTCCTCTTCCTCCTCCTCCTCCTCCTCCTCCTCCCTCCTCCTCCTCGTCCTGAAAGAGATGGCTACCCAGCGCACTCCGACATGCCTTCTGGTGGCTGGGCCCCTTGCTGGCGCTCCACGCGCCTCCCGTGTGCGAGCCAGACCCCCCCCCCTGAGGGAGCTTTTTGGGAGGGGGTTCTCTGAAGCTCGCCGCAGCTGACAGGAGTATGAGCAGGAGGAGGATGAGGAGGAGGAGGACGGGGGAAGATGATGATGATGACGATGATGACGATGATGACGATGATGATGATGATGATGATGAGGAGGATGATGATGCTGATGATAATGATGATGCTGATGATGATGATGATGATGGTGCTGACGATGCTGATGATGATGCTGATGATGACGATGATATTGGTGATGATGATGGTAGTGATGATGATGCTGATGCTGATCATGATGATGCTGCTGCAAATGATGATGATGATGATGATGATGATGATGATGATGATGGTTACGATGCTGACGACGATGATGATGTTGCTGCTGGTGATGCTGATTATGACGATGCTGATGCTGATGCTGATGCTGATGTTGATGCTGATGATGATGATGATGATCATGATGATGCCCGTACCATCTGCGGACAGCCGTGTGTTTACTGAACTAGCCGCGTGACTGCCATAGCCAGGCGGTCCGTCAGAGCGTGATGATGCTGATGATGGTGATGACGATGACGATGACGATGCTGTTAATGATGATGATGACGATGACGATGACGATGATGATGATGATGATGATGATGATGATGATGATGATGATGCTGCTGCTGCTGCTGCTGATGATGATGATGATGATGCTTGTGATAATGCTGATGGTAACGATGCTGATTATGATGGTGACGATGATAATGACGATGACAATGATGACTATTATGACGATGATGATGTTGATGACGAGGATGATGCTGATGCTGATGATGAGGATGAGGATGATGATAATGATGCTGCTGCTGATGATGATGGAGGAGGACGGATGGGGATGAGGAGGAGGAGGAAGAGGAGGACGACGGGGGAGGAGGAATGGGGGAAAACATGGCCTCAGCTCGTCTGGCGTAATCCGGCCGTCCTCGTCCTTGTCGAACATCCTGAAGACCTGCGGGCGGCCGAGAGCGAGCGGGGCGGCGCACAACGAGAGGGAAGCACGGCATCGCGAGAGAGAGAGATATATATATATATATATGTATATACATATTAACGCAAGGAGGACGAGGATAAGTAGAAGAAGAACTTACGCACCCCAGCAACGCGCACCCTAGTAATAATAGAAATGGAAAATGCGGGTGGAGAAGTAGGAGGTCTGCCTGTAGGGGGCAGTGGTGAGAAGGCGGCCATGTCTACCTTCATGTATGATTGTATAAGGGTTGTGGTCGTCAGGGCCAAGCATGTAGCTGGCATTGAGGCGAGAACGCGATTCCTGAATAACTTGTGAGGGAGTCTCAAGCGAAACGGCTGCTGGACCTCTTCTGGACCCGGCGGCCTCTGTGGGACTCTTCTCTGGACATTTTCCACTCTTCTAAACACCTCTGCCAAAACGCTACGAGTTTGAAACATGGTAAACATAAGCTTTCGGACCTCCGCGCGGACTTTTTGGATCTGCGCTGGGCCCCCCTCCCTGGCGCCGGAGGCGCCGCCAGCGGGGCCCAGTGCAGATCCAGTAAGTCCGCGCGGAGCTCCGAAAACTTATTGGTTTATGCCCTTTCTTTTGTTTATGCCCTTCTTCTTCTTCTTCTTCTTCTTCTTCTTCTCCGAGAGGGAACGAAGAGCAGGGAGGACGAGGGTGAGGGGGGATGGCGGGTGAGGCGCAGCGGGTTGCCCGGTGGATTTCGTAGTGGGTCGGACGGTGCGTGGCGGACCGCGCGGTGCGCGGTGTTTTGCGCGGTGGCGGTGGCCGCGCCGTGCGCTGTGCGGTAGCGACAACGTGCCGGGCTCCGCCGCGCCAGGCTGGCCGCTTCACAGCACCCGTGCGAGACTCTCGAGCGCGAGCACGGCTTGGGGAAGCAGAGCGCGCCCATGACACCCCCCGCGGGTCTTGGGACGGTCTCCACCTGTCCTTGTCCTTGTCCTTGTCCTTGTCCTCCTCCTCCTCCTTCGCCCTCCCTCCCTCCCTCCATCCCTCGCAGCAGCCTGGCGCGCCGGAGTTCCGCCTGGCATGGGGTCGCGCAAGCGCCGCACTCGCTGTAGCCAGCGCCGGCCCCGCGCGCCGGCGCCGGCTGCGCAGCCGGGCGCTGCGGGCTGGCCAGCCTCTCTCCCCCGCTCCCTCCCTCTTTCCCTCGCTCGCTCCCGCCTTCTTCTCCTCCTCCTTTTTTGACGTTTTGCCGTTTTGCCACTTGCTGGCCCCTGTCCTCCTCCTCCTTCTCCTCCTCCTCCTCCTCTTCCTCCTCCTCCCCTCCTCCTCCTCCTTCTCCTCCTCCTCCTCCCTTCTCTCCTCCTCCCCTCCCCTACCTACTCTTCTCCTCCCTCCTACTCCTCCTGCCTCATCGTCCTCCTCGTGCATTCCCCGTCCTCACTCGTCATCGTCCTCCTCCTCCTCCTCCTCCTCCCTCCTCCCTCCTCCTCCTCCTCCTCCGACTCCTCCTCCTCCTCCTTTTTTGACGCTGGGCGCCGTGGCCTACACAATTTTGGGTTAAGGCGCTGTGGCCAAGCACTGAGCCCATCTGCGCGCAGCCAGTAAGTGGTGCGGCGAAAAAAATAAAAGCAGATGAGCCCGTGAAGGCGTAGAGTATGCGCACAATGAGCGGTGGAGGAGGCGATCGAATCGACGGAAGGCGGAAGCACCGAAGAGGGGTCCTCTTCTTCCTCTCCTTCTTCTTTTTCCTCCTCTTCCTCCGCCTCCTCCTCCTCCTCCTCTCCTTCCTCCTCCTCTCCTCCACCCTCCCCATCCTCCAAGCCCCTCCTAATTCTCCCCCCACTTCCCGAAAACTTTCAGAATCCTCTCTAACCCCCCCTCTCTATCTCCTCTATAATCCTCATACTCCTCCTCGTCGGACGTTGGACGTCGCGCCCCACAATGAGGTCACGGACCAGTCATCAAGATCACCAGAACAAATACGACTGCCCAGCACCACCCTGGTGCATTCTGTCGGCGCCAGCGAAGGGAGCGAGCAATCGATCATTTCATTGACGCCTCGGGCTGCCCTGGACTGGGCGAAGACGAAGTCTACTCCTTGTGGCCATGAAGGTGTGCATGTTGATTGGAGCATCATGAGCGCTCCCATCGCTCGAACTTCCTGAAGTCGTCAGTGCCGCAAGGATTGCACCGCGGTCGAATTAGCTTCTTAGCTTTGCAGCAACCCGTGGCCCACATTTAATACAGAGCAGCCCGGGGACATCTGCATCCACAGCTGCAAGACACCAGCGCCACGCCGTGCGACGGCCGGAGGACCTCGGAGCCAATCGCAGCCCCCTGGAGGTTTCTGGGGAAGACTGTGAGACACCATGGGGGCCCCATTTCCATCGCGCCAGACCGCTGGCGAGACGGGCGCCTCAAGCTCCTCTTCCTCCTGGCTCGCAGTTCCCCGCCTCTGCTCTCCTCGCCGTCGCCTTCTGCTCCTCCAGTTTGGGGCGCAGGCCCTGCCCAGCCCCGCGGGTCGTCGTCGTCGTCGTCGTCGTCGTCGTCGTCGTTGTCGTCGTCGTCGTCGTCGTCGTCGTCGTCGTCGTCGTCGTCGTCGTCGTCGTCGTCGTCGTCGTCGTCGTCGTCGTCGTCGTCGTCGTCGTCGTCCGTCGTGGTCGTCGTCCATCGTCGTCGTCATCGTCATCGTCGTCGTCCATCGTCGTCGTCGTCGTCCGTCGTCGTCGTCATTCCGCCGTCGTCGTCGTCGTCGTCGTCCGTCGTCGTTCGTCGTCGTCGTCGTCGTCAACGTCGTCACCGTCGTCACCGTCGTCGTCGTCGTCGTCGTCGTCGTCGTCGTCGTCGTCGTCGTCGTCGTCGTCGTCGTCACCGTCGTCGTCGTCGTCGTCGTCGTCGTCGTCGTCGTCGTCGTCGTCGTCGTCGCCGTCGGGGCCGGAGGGCTTCCGAGCGGGCGTGGCCTCCCCCACGCGGTCGCCAGAGACGTCGAACTGGTGCAGGTCTGCCATGGTCAACTGCCCGTGGTCGCGGCCAGAATCCGCTGTCTTGAGGTCCGGTATCTTGAGCTTGCCGTCCCTGGCGGAACGGGAGGGGGAACATGTCCTGAGTGAGATCCGACGCTCCAAACAAACTGAAGCGACTGATTTTTGGTTGTTTTCGGCCTCTGGGGGCCCTCGCCAGGCTTCGGGAGCGTCAACAAACGACTCAGGACGAAAAACCGGCCCTAGAGAAGTGGCCTGGACCTCCGGGGCCTACGCATCGAAGAAATTGGAGCAGCTGGATGTCTGGGTTGGAACCTTCTGGCGTTTTCCAGAGGGCTCCAAAGGAGCAGTGGCAGGATGAGGAAGAGGAGGGGAAGGCTAAGGCGAAGAGAAGAGAGACGACGAACAAGAGAAAGGTTGGGTGGCTTCTTTCGTTTTCCCCGATTGCGCATCCCAATTGATGCTGACCTGCTGATCATCTATCGCATTTATCTCAGCACATCTTGCACACAGGCGTTGTTCTTGCAGTTCTGAAGACAAGCGCAGCGACCCATCAGTTCACTCCACAAACTTAGCAAATGTGTGCTATCATAGGCTGACGTATCTTTGTAGACTCCTAGACAGGCGCATTTTCCAGTGCTGCAGTGGATGCGCAAAGGAGGAGGAGGAGGACAAGGATGAGGAGGAGGAGGAGGAGGAGGAGGAGGAGGAGGAGGAGGAGGAGGAGGAGGAGGAAGAGGAGGATCTGCGTATACCCAAGACCCACCAACGATATTTGAATAAAGCCTTCCTCCAAGCTCCCTCTTCATATGCCCCTGCAAGGATTTCCATGGAGGGACGTGCTCCTTTGGGGGACAGCCGTTTGATGATCCTGGAGCGTGCCAGCGCACCATTTTCGGGACTCCAACGCCACGAATGAACCTGACTGTTGCGGCGTGACGATCTTGAATCGTGCCACGTATCCATTCCCGAATCTTCACCACCGCGAATCAACGTAACCGTTGCGCCTTGACAATCCAGAACTCTTCCAACACGCCATTCTTGGTACGCCAGCCATGCGGCTTTGTGCAAGTTCTGCAAATGTTTAAAATAATGTGCGCGGCGTTAAGGCGAGACTCACATTTTTTAAAGGAGCCGCTCCACTCCGTGAAACTCTTGCAATTTCGAAAAGCGATTGTGCGCGGCGCTGGGGCGAGAACCCCATTTTGAAAACGGCCCGCCCTCAAAATGTGAAGTCTTGCAAACTCTTAAAACGAATGTGCGCAGCGCTACAGCAATGACCACATTTTGAAACACCGCCAGCCCTAAATCAGTGAAGCTCTTGCACAGGTTGGAAACGAATCTACGCGGCGCTCAGGCGAGCACCACATCAAGAAAAACGGCCCGTCCTTCTTCGTGAAGCTCCTTGTAGGGTTGTCCGACGAATGTGCGCGGCTGTAAGGCGAGAGCCAAATTCGGAAAACCACCCGCCCTCCACCTGTGAAACTGTTGCCAATTTTAAGTCTCGGGGTGCAACAGCAAGAAACAATTTACAGTGGAGGCAAATCCGCAAGAAACTTTCCACGATAAACTTTCCACAACACACTTTCCACTTTCCACAAGCACCCCTGATACCCCAGGGCGCCCATTGATTTTTGGTGTTGGAACGTCACGCTGTCCAAAGAAAAACCATCGAAACAGAAGAAGCCCAGGGCACCCTGGAGGCAAGCAGGGTGTTTCTTGGCATGGGTCCACACTGTGTAAGGGAAAGGAATGGATGTGGGGCGAATGGGCATGGGGGAAGGACGAGGTAGGGGGAGAGCAGGAGAGTCCTGCAATTTTGGCTGGTACGGTGCTGGTGGGCTGGCCCGACGCCAGGCCTGTTTAAACTCCTCTCCCGCCTCCTTCTCCTCCCTCGCTCTCGCATTTTGAAGGGTACAACTGGCCGGCCGACGTCAGGCGTGATGGGTCCGAGCCCGTCCGTGTGATCTCTGAACCTGGCACTGCACGCCCCAGACTTTTGTGTTCCTCTCCACATCAGATCCACCTCCCGTCTCCCGCCTCCCGGAGCTTTTTGTCCAGGGAGCCCAGGGAACTCTGGTCGGGGGGCCCTTGAGATCCTGGCGTCTCAGTATTTCCCTACCATCCTGTGGTGTTGGGTCCTCGTTTTGAAGAGACAGGGCCCCGCGTCCTCACTCCTCTCCTCCTGCCCCCCTTCCTCCCTCCCGCCATCATCACCGTCATCATCACCATCAATATCATCATCGTCGCCGTGATCGTCGTCGTCCTCATCATCGTCACCACCATCATCATCGTCACTCTCATCCTCATCACCATCATCATCGCCATCATCGAAACCATCATCATCATCAATTTCTCACAGGTTTCGTGGCCCCATAGGGAGCTCCACCGAAGGCCCCTGTGCCGCCGCCCGCATGCGTCCCGCACACCCAATTCGGCACACCCCTCACACGTTTCGCGGCCCCATAGGGAGCTCCACCGCAGGCCCCACTGCCGCTAGCTGCATGCGTCCCGCACACCCACTTCGGCACACCCCTCACACGTTTCGTGGCCCCATACGGAGCTCCACCGAAGGCCCCAGTGCCGCCGCCCGCATGCGTCCTGCACGCCCAATTCGGCACACCTCTCACACGTTTCGTGGCCTCATAGGGAGCTCCACCGAAGGCCCGAATGCCGCCGCCCGCATGCGTCCCGCACACCCAATTCGGCCAGCGACGCGCCGCAGGCGACCCGCGCGCGTCGCTGGGACCCTCTCGGGGCGACCAGCGCGCGTCGCGGGAGTTCTGCGCTGCCCTCTGCCCAGAACCTCGCTCGCCCCCGTCGTCGCTCTGCCCAGCGGCCACAGCCTTGCCCGCTATCAGCCAGCTAGCTAGCTCTTTCTGCTCCGCGCAACGGACGACCCGCGCGCGTCGCCGGGACCCCCCGGGGCGACCAGCGCGCGACGCGGGGACTCCGTGCGGCGCCGCGCCCGCAGCCTTGGATATGGGCGTGCACGGGCAAAGAAGGAGAAACAAAACGGAAGGAAGCGGGCGCGATCCTAGTGAGGAGCGTGCCGACGTGGGCGTCGCGGCGTGCGGGCGCTGCTGTCGGGGTTCCAGGGGAAGCTTCCTGCGGCGGCCACGCTCAGTGTCACGAGCACTCAGGGTCAGGCATACGTTACGAGTACTCAGGGTCAGGCGTACGTGGCCATGCTTGCATTTATGCAAATATAGTCACTCGCGCGCAGACTCGTTCACACTCAAACTCACTCGCGCTCAGACTCACCCGCGCTCAGTCTCTCGTAATTAGACCGATCGTCTTCATTCGCGTTCTGTACCCCGCCACGCAATTCGGCGCACCCCCCATGCGGTTCGTAGCCCCATAGGGGAGCGCCGCCGAAGAAGATATTCACAATTGCGGCGCTCACAAGTTCATATGGTTGGGTCCTTCGCCAGGCTAATTTCGGGCCGAGCGTTTTCGGCCGCTTTGGGTCCTGGGGCCCTCGCTGATCGATCAGGCTAATTACCAAAATGGCGCAGAAAGCTGGGGTCTGGGGGCTCCAGTCGTGATTTTTGACGCGCTTTCGGATCTCAGGGCGGCTTGCCCAGAGGCGTGCCTTCTTATGGTCCTCCTCGTGGTCCTTGTGCTTGGCCCTCGTCCTTGCCCCTCTCTTGGTCCCCCCCTTGGCCCCCAGTCCTTCTCCAGAGGCGCGCCTTCTCCAGAGGGGCTCCCCCCCCCCCCCCCCTCCTGACCAGGAGTCAGGCCCCCCACCCCCCCCCTGGTCCTCTTCTCCTCCGCGCGACCTGAAGGCTGCCATGGGGGCGTCTGTGTGGGGGGATGCCCTAGGGGCCATCCGTGCCTGCCTTGCCTGGCAGGGCTGGGGCCAACCTGGGCCACGCCGCCTGTAAAAAGCCTCCGACGAGGAGGAGGAGGAGGGAGGATGGAGGAGAGAGGAGGAGGAGGAGGAGGAGGAGGAGGAGGAGGAGGCGGAGGAGGAGGAGGGAGGGAACAGGAGGAGGAGGAGGAGGCGGAGGAGGAGGAGGAGGAGGAGGAGGAGGAGAAGGAGGAGGAAGAGCAGAAAAAAGCGGAGGAGGAGGCGGACGACAAACGGGAGGCAGAACGTTTCTTTTGTTCCGCTTCTCTTGGTTCCCGCAACGAGTATGCTACCAGTCGCTTACACGAAGAGCAGGGGACTGCACAGTTGGCAAGTGTCCTAGTCTGTGAAGGCTAGGCGTCGCTGGTAGCAAGCCCAAGATCAAACGAATTCCCTAGGAATATCGAGGCTGTCAATGATAGAACCGGTGCACGCTCCCATGAATGATGTGAAGTGTGATTGAACATTCATGGGGGCGGCCGTTCGGTGTGCGACGACGGCCTGAAGTGCATACCTGCGAAGGCTTTCCCATGGGACAGAATGGCATCGGCCTCCTCATCGACCAGTTCACTCCGGGGGTCGGCGCAGATGGGAGGTCTGAGGCCCTTCGACAGGAGGCGATAGCGTTAAGTCGGGCCTGTCCCCCGACAGGGGGATTTCGACGGAAAATAAAACATACTCCCAGAAATAATCAAACAATAATCCAAAGATAGTCTGGAGACTATTTTTTAGTATTTCTTAAACCTTTTTGGACGATTTTGGGGGTATGTTCTATTTTTCGTCGAAAATCCCCCTGTAGGGGGACACGCCCGACAGAACGGTAGCGATGCTCCCCACGGGCCCTGCTGCGCAACCCGACTTCGCCACCAGGTGCCTGCTGCAGAGGTCGGGCCTTCAACCGCCGAGAGAGGGCTTGGGCTGCACTCGGCGGCGGCAGACACGTGGGGCTACCCAGAACTGAAAAACAAAAAGGCGCTGGCACAGCCAGGGGCACGAGGCGCCCAGCGAAGCACTGTTCCCAGCGATGTCTGCACTTATCCGCAAGCGACTGCCCTGAAACGAGATGCAGCGCACGGAGGCGCGCCTCCGTGGGCGCTGATGCAGCCTGCTGCCCGCTTTGGGCGCCACTCCTGGCAGGAGGATTTGGGACGACGGAGGAGAATTGGCGCGGGGTCTGCCAGATGGAGGAGGGACGAGGTGAGAGGATGCGGAGAAGGAGGAGAAGGAGGAGGAGGAGGGAGGCGGAAGAGGAGGGAGGAGGTGAGAGGATGCGGAGTGGGAGGGCAGGGACAAATTAAACGTGCGCCGGCTGGGACACCGAGAGCCCGCCGACCCCCGCTTGCCTGGGGTGGCAAGGCCTGCGAGACGTTCCGCTGTCCACCTGCTCCTGCTCTCCTTCCCCAGGGGTCCGAAACTCCAGTTGAGGGGTGGGGCCATATATATATATATACACATATGTATAAGGATAGAGAGAGAGAGAGAGAGAGAGAGAGAGAGAAAGAGGAGACGGGATCGTCAACGCACATCCCAAGCCCTACGACCCCCCACCTTCCGAATTGCCTGGATTGCCCAAGATATCTCCAGGTGGCCCAAGGTAGCCAAAGAAGATGGCCTCCTCGATGGCTCCAGAGTTGTCTCCAAGCTGGCTCTACGATAGCCCTGGATCCCGCCAAGGAAGCCCCACGAGGCCCAAATCACTGCACACCCCTTCGTGAATGATTTTGTCCGTCTTGCCCAGATCGGCCTCCGAGGCCTTGAGATGGAAACTCTGCTCTACCATACTCGTCCACAGAGAAACGGACCACGGCAAGTTGTGCTGCGATATTCGGCTGTCACTGCTCGACTGGGACGGCAGCGCGCCCATAAACAACAACACGCAGGGTGTCAAAGCGGAGGGGAGGTCCGAGCAGCAGCCCTCCGCAAGATGCTGGTGGCGAACACTCACCACGAACCCTACGTCTCTGCACCAGTTCGCGGCCAGTCGGCTTGCCGCGGAGTTGGCGGCCTCATCTCGCCGAGCGCTCGGACTGCAAACTGCGTGTTTTATCTACAGGCTGGCACCGCACTGAGATGTAAGCGGCATCGTCACAGCCAAGGGCAAACTGAGCCCATGCATCACTGTTCCCGGTAATGCTTTCCACTTATGCTACGGATCTGCTTCTCCAGGATCGAGCGCCCTGAAATGATGGAGCCCGCCGAGATGCATGCACAAACATGTGAGGCACTAGCGCAACCTACCAGCTGTGCACGCTCCTGGGAGGAGGGAGATTGGATCAGGGAGGAGGACGAAGAGGAGGAGGATAACGAGGTGGGAGCAGGATGAGGAGGGGATTCGCCAGATGCAAGAGGAGCTTGGGAGGAAGAGGAGAAGGAGGATACTAATACGTGGGGGATGAACACGCGCACATTCGCTCCCGTGGGCAGTAAAATTGGACAGAGCGCTGCGGGCACGCAGTGCAATCTGCGGCCTGAGCCAGCCACATGACTCAACTGCTTGCCGAACAACGCAGACTGGCCCGGGAAGCCGTGCCGCAGCCCGATACCACGGCCAAAATACTCCCTATCTACCAACGAACAGCATCATGACCACCGCGGGGGCAAACGTATATCCTTGGCTCGACACGGTCGCCGCTCACGCCCCGCCCTGCGCCGCAGCAGCTGAAACCAGCTCCTGCTGCGCCCTCTGAGCTGCCACGGCCAGCCGCACCTCGCTGCCAGCCTTCTGCAACGCGGCCACTGCTGCTTCGCAAGATGCCTGCATCTCCCTGGGGCAGGCCATGACCGCTGTCTGAAGCGAGCCCAGGATGACAGAGGTGTCGGCGGCCACCGTCGGCAGCAGGCCCGAGCAGACGAAGCCCACGCCCAATAGCCCTCTGGCCATCGCCAGGGGCGGCATGTCTCGCGAGGCTGGGAGCTTCGTGGCGAGGGCCTGGGCGCACAGCATGCTCTGCTCCCAGACCTGGTTCAGCCTGGCCGCGTGGATGCCGCAGGTGATGATGTTGAAGCGCGAGACGAAGATCGAGACCCAGCTCTCCACAGTGGGGGGCTGTGTCTCCCACTTCAGCGTCACCAGCAGAATGCCCTCCTGAGCCGTCAGCGCGTCCTCGGTGGCGTCTGGAACGTGGTGGCCCAGCTGCCTCAGGCACCCCACCATGCGCTGGGCGTGAGGGACCATGGAGGCGTTGGACACCACTGTGGTCGCCGTGTCCGCCTTCTTCAGCAGCTTCACGATCACCGTGCACGCGAGCGGGAGGTGCTCTGGGAGTATTCCCCCGTCGCGGCGCAGGCAAGCGACGTCGAGCAGCGTGGCGGCTTGGAACCCAGCTGCAGGAAGCAGCCCGACAGCCTGGCACAGACTCCACATGAACCTCACCCCGGCGTCGCGCAGCCCGGCATCGAGGGCCGCGTCCCTGGCCGCGCCGCCTCGCGGAGAGAAGGCCCTGCGCTCCCTCTCCATGTGGAACTCGACGAGCTCGTCCGCCACGCCCGCGTCAAAGAGGGCGTCCTCCAGGTCCTGCTGCTTCCAGGGGCTCCCGGCCTGCTGCGCGGCGCCCAGCTCGGCCGCGGCCTGCGAGAGGCGCCCCCGCTCCATCCCCTGGCCGAGACACATGGAGGGCAACGGCGGGCGCGAGCGGGTCCGGGGCCCAATCCGCGCTCGGCAACAAATCGAGGAGCCTGAGCCGCAAAGTCGGTGCTGAGGAGGACGCTAAGTAGGAGGGGGCTGAGCCCTGGAGGCTGAGCCCAAGATCGGCACCACTTGCGCGCAGCTTCGCAGGCATGCGCTGCTCCAGCACGACGCCCGGGTCTAGAACTCCCACCGGGGGCTGCGTCACAGCTGATCCCACATCTCAAACCTCTAGTGGCCTAGTCCATGGCCTGGTCGCGCCGCCTCCCCTCTCTTCCCCTTCCTTGCATCCGATTGCAATGCATTTGCGTCTATGCTCCTCGTAACTCCGTGCCGTGATCAGCGAGCACTGGTGGCCTTTTGTGGCGGCGGAGGAACGGGGGAACATGTCCGTTGTCTGCTGGGGCGCGGCTTCGGGACAACTAGAACGCGGCCGGAGCTCTGGCGCTGCTCCCTGGCAGCGTGCCTGATCAGTAGGCGGGGCACCCCAAGCCCAAATCGGCGATCTGAAAGACCCAGACCCACCCTGCATGCGGATAAAAGCCCTGCTGTGCTAATTCATACTGGACCAGGGCTTCCAACGATAGAGCTACAATCATGGCACTGCCTGGAGGAACGCTACATAAGGAACGAGCCCCCCTCTTTCAACAACAAGTCGTACATTTCTAAGGAACGGCCGAGCCCCTTTTTGGAAGCGTTCCGTCGTTGTTGCCTCTCGTTTGAAACATGACGCATCCCTCTGTCGAAGCCTAAGGAAAGTGCTTTGGAAACTTGCTAGGGGATGCAAGCAGACCCAAGGAACCACCGAACCCCTTCCGACCCCGAATGTGAGCGTATTTCAACGCCATGAGTGTACGCCGCGCCGAGGCTTTACAATACAATGTGTTAGTAACATCTGTGCAATCGAATCATAGTCGATGATCTCAGGTTACAATCAAATCTCGGATCTATGTAATTATACTTTAACTAATCTGGGCTAACTTCCCCATACATTTCTTAAAACACGCCTGGTACAATTCCCATTGTTAACGTTGGAAAGGCGAACATGCTCAAGAAGCTGGGCCAGCCTTCCGGCACGTTGGTAAAGAAACGCTGGCCCAACTTTTCGTGAGGAGGTTTCTTAATCATATGCTCGCCTGGAATGCGGACCCATGTCGAGATATAGAGAAGCCGATCGAGAATCGCTCGCGAGAAACACCACATCGCAAGGACATTATCAGTACATCGACAGAAGATTCGCTTTTCCCCACTGGTCACCCCAGAATCAGACGATCTGCTGTCTTATTTCGAATTTGTGTTCAAGTATCCTGCACCCAATTGCTTGCTATTTCCCTTTCAGTTCTGAAGAGGCAGACACCAACGCATGTGCCCACCCCGCTAACAATGTACTCATGCGCTCTCTCACTTCGAAATCCGCCGACACCAACTTGCTGGGGGTGCATCGGCGTGTGAGATGATTGGCTGCCCCCCTCCCCTTTTTCCTATTGCGGGGCTAGGACGAGGATCAATCCGTTCCAGACCCTTCCGGAACGCTCTCAGAGCGCTCCAGAACGCTCCGAGAAGGCTGCGGCGCCCGAGGCATCCTCCAGAGCAGCTGGATCCCAAAGATTCTCGTTTCATCCTCGCCCGAATGCATCCTCGCCCTGGCTTCGTCGTATGACCCTCCCCCCCCGGGGTGCGACATCCGCTTGGGGTGGTGGTGCATCTTCCAGAGCGGCCGGATCCCAGAGCTTCTCGTTGCGTCCTCACCCGAGCTTCTCCTCGCCCTGGCTTCGTCTTATGACCCCCCCCCCCCCGGCGGCGGCTCCCCGTGGCCTCCTCCGCCCTCCCCCCCGGGGCCTCAGGAACCCCCCGTGGCCTCGAGGGTGCCCCATCTCTCCTTGGAGCCTGAGGAGGAGGAGGGAGGAGGAGGAGGAGGAGGAGGAGGAGGAGGAGGAGGAGGAGGAGGAGGAGGAGGAGGAGGAGGAGGAGGAGGAGGAGGAGGAGGAGGAGGGCTGAAGCTGGGCTCCAGCACGCCCAGGAGGCCTCCAAGAACAACCGAGATGGCCCCCGCACGGCCCAGGAAGCCTCCAAGACGCCCCCCAGACAGCTCCAGGTGGACCCCGAGAGGCCCAAATCACTCCCATTCCGGAGGACACAGGATGTCTTCAGCATATTCATCCTGTTGGTTTCGGCAGCGTCCGAATGGGCCCAAGAAGCCCCCAAGACCGCTCCAGGACGGCCCAAGAGGTCCCTCAGGGGCCCCAAGACGGCTCAAACGAGTCCCAGAACGGCCCAAGAGGCGCCCAAGACGGCCCGAACGGTCCCCCAAAGAGCCTCCAGTGGGGCCCAACGGGGGGAACTCGAACTCACATGTCGAGCTTTCTCGTCGTCCTCCTCCTCCCCCTCCTTTTGCTCCTCTTCTCCGTCCTTCTGTCTTCCGCCCTCTCAGGCTCCATGTCCTCCTCTGGCCCGCCCTCCCACCCTCCCCCTCCCTCTGGCCCACCACCTCCTCCTCCTCCTCCTCCTCCTCCTCCTCCTCCCCCTCCTCCTCCTCCTCCTCCTCCTCCTCCTCCGCCTCCAGGCACCTCGTTCCGGCGCCAGGGCAACCACCTCGCGGGACGCTCCGCCCAGCCGCCCGTCGAGCGGGAGGAGAGAGGAGGAGGGAGGACGAGTAGAGGAGGAGGGAGATGCAGAGCGCTCTCCGCTCTTTTCCTGCTCCTCGCGGCTCCCGCAGCGAGCATGCTACCAAGCTCATGCTCATGCTGAAAAAAAAAGAAGGTGCCCGTCGCAGAACCAGTGCCCGCCCACATGAATGATGTGAGTGCTGATATTGGGACATTCATGGGGGCGGGCGCTGGCTCAAGCGGGCCGTTCGCCGCCGATCGACTACTGCGCACCCGAGCACACTCGGTGCGCAGGCGGCCCGGAAAGCACACCCGCACACGGTTCGATGAGGCTGTCCCGCGGACGGAGCGCCCGGCCCGTGGCCTCCTGATCGCCCAGCCCATGCCTGCACGGTTTCCCCTGGGGCCGTAGGCGACCCGAGGAGCAGGAGGAGGAGGAGGAGGAGGAGGAGGAGGAGGAGGAGGAGGAGGAGGAGGAGGAGGAGGAGGAGGGAGAAGGAGAAGGAGGAGGGGCAGGAGGAGGAGGAGGAGGAGGAGGAGGAGGAGGAGGAGGAGGAGGAGGAGGACGGGTCGCCTAAGCCATTCGGAGAAACCATTCACTTATGCCAGGGTGTCGAGGCAGAGGGTGCCAGTGACGGTAGCTGCCGGTGCCGCCCCCATGAATGATGTGAGGTGTGATGCGACATTGTTCACGGGGTCGGCCGCCGCTGACCGACTGCTGTCGAGGGCGTCCAAGAGGGGGGCGTCCAAGAGAGGGGGGCGCAAATCATGGCCAACGGCATGTGCGCGGCCCCCAGGGGGGGTGGGGGGGGAGCCGGGGACGTCTTGAAATAAAGAAGAGGCGCCGTGAAACCTGTGGAGATATCATCGCCCCCGCCGTGATATCCACCCCCTCTAGTCATCACCTCCTTCAGTGGCAGCTCATGGGAGCCTCCCATACCATCATGTCGGCTCTTGCGAATCGACGCTGGTCGATGCTAAATCGACACGAATCGACGCTAAATCGACGCTATCTCGTCGACTCCAAACGCCAATCGACGCCAGTCGACGCCAAAGACGGCATTGAGAGGGTACACCAGGCTCCCGTGCTTTGCCACCGAACCCCCCCCCTCTTGTGAGGGGCAACGATAGGGGGGGACTGGCATAGGTAGGGGGGGGGGGTGCATTGACCTGGAATCGGCGCTACATCGCCGATAGCTCGGCGAGAGGCCCCCGACAGCGAATCCGCACCTTCCTGGGCAGGCTGGGGCTATCGGGCCCCTATCGGCGATCCATGGGCGACTGCGCGTCGATGCATCCCCCCCTGACCATGCCGATCCCCTTCATCGTTGCCCCCGATCTTGGCCGCCCCCGAGGCTGCGCACCCCGGGCGCCTCCGGTGCCAGGGCGGCCCGCAGCGGGCCATCGCTCGGACGTCCATTCCCTGTGTTTTTTTTTTGTCGGTTTCGTGCGCGGTGTTTTCGCCAAGTGATCAAGGATGCTCCTCGCCAAATTGTTCTCGCCGAGAACAAATGGTTCTCGCCGAAAATGGTTCTCGCCGAGAACAAACGCACACGGTTCTCGCCGAATGGTTCTCGCCGAGAACAGATGCACACGTCCGAGCGATGCCAAGGCAGTGCACGCCCTGCGTGCGGCGCGGGGGGAAAAACAGCGAACAGAGCCTCCCGCGGGGCCTCGAGGCGGGGAGGGGCGCGGCCCGCGGCCATCATGGGGTGGGCGTCGGGGCCGGCGCGGGGAGGGCCGAGGCCCTCTCGAGAGGTGGCGGGCGGCGGTCGGGGAGGCCCAGGGAGACACACACACACGCCGCCTCCTGCTCCTCCTCCTCCTCCTGCTCCTCCTCCTCCTCCTCCTGCTCCTCCTCCTCTTCTTCCTCCTCCTCCTCCTCCTCCTCCTCCTCCTCCTCCTCCTCTCTTCGGTCTTTGTGCCTCTCTTCTGGATCTTCGTCGTCCCCTCCGCCTGCCAGCGCTCTCCTCCAGTCTTGTCATGGGCACCTGGGTTTACTTCTGTCTGTGTCTCCCTCTCCCTCCTGAGCGCTGCTCACCGCGGATCCTGCCGCCCGGCCCGAATTCTCCAGCAGCCGGCTGGCTGCGGAGTTGGCGACCGTCCGCCGCTGAGCGCCTGGACTGCAGACTGCGGCGGCGAGACAGGACTCCCCGCAGAGCGGAGCAGAACGTGAGCACAGGGATCCTAATGCGGCACTATTCCCAGTGATGCATTTCCACTTGTTCCACGTGTGTGCGGCTCCAGGATCGGGCTTGGGCACCCAGAAGCCATTCAGCACACGATGCTGTGCCTCCGTGGGCGCAGGTGCAGCCCACTGCCCGATGTGGGCGCTCCTGGCAAGAGGAAGGAGGGTTGCGGGAGGACGAGGAAGAAGGGAGTTTCCAAAGGAAGGATGGGGATGAGGAGAAGGGATGCGCCTACTTCAGCACTGAGAGAGCCTACCGACCCCCACTTGACTGGGGTGGCAAACAACGAAAGATGTTTGGCAGTCCCCCTCCTCCTGCTCCTCTTCCCAGGGGGTCCAGAGTCCCAGCTGAGGGGTGGGGTAGCAGAGTGGGGGGGCGAGCTCGCAACGCTCATCTCAGGCCCTACGAAGCTCCCCTC